TATAGCAATTTTGAACAAAATTACCGAGTAAATTGTGAGAAAAACAACAAGCTCAAACACATCACAAGGAGTCTAGGAAGGGTGAGACAAATCGGCCGTTGAATAATACAGCCCTAGAGTTCCAGAGAATAGCAAAGAAATAGGGGTGATTGGCTCGAAATATTTTGTGTGGCTCTACCAACAGTGGAGCGCTACGCAGCTGCATGCCTACTGAAACTGCTGCCGCCGCTTCCGTTCCTTCCTCATTCACCTAAAAATAATGATTCGATTGCTGCAAATCGGTTTTTTTTGGGTTCGCGGACAATTCTTAAATACAAACAAAACCAATTTTCCATCGGTGCTCTCTCTTTCTCCGAAAGGCATTCGGAAGTAGCCGACACTAACTAGTCGCTGGCAAGGCTGTTGATGGCTCCCTCTTTCGATGATTGCTCAGAAGTAAGCTAATGGCAGGCCCTCTAACTATACCTGTGAAAAAATTAGTCTATCCGGAATTTTCCTTTCAACTTCTCACAGAACCAGGAATTTATGGTTATTCTTCAGTCTCAGAATTTTAAAAATTAAAAAACCCTTTCTTATAAAATTATTCGTTTTATTTTCAAAATAAAAAAAAAGCGCAGCTAAAAAGAAAGCTATTAGGCAAAAAAAAAGTTGAGAAAAGCAGCGAAGAAGTTGCCATGAAAAAGTTAGACTTCACATAGCTCCACGCTGACGGGCTTTTTAGAAAGAATTTCTGCAATAAGCTTATCAAAAAGCATTAGCCATGCATGAGAATTAGCGGCGCACTTTGATATCGAAATTAGATTTTTCTGTGAGGAGCACATCTGGAAGTTTTTGATAAACAATAAAAATTTTTTTAGTAATTATTTCTTAACGAAAGATAAAGGGATTGGTTTTCCCTGTCCGGGGTCTTCCGAACCTCAAACATTGCACCTGAATCATATTTTTGCAGCAATCTTCCTCTCCTCTGGTCTTCTGCTGTCGTAAATCTTTATGAATTTCTGGGGTTAATTTGAAATATTCTCGCACAAGCTTAATAACCCGAACTTCAGGCGACAAAACAAACAGCACAGCAATGGTCAAAACAGTTAGAAAAATCGTCAGCTGCACAGTTGGAGAACCACCCTGTAAATTACCAGCTGTTCTAGATGTAGTCTTTTAGGCACCTCTTATAATTCTTGTAGTGCAAACTCATTCACTAAATTATAATTAGAAAAGTAAAACAATAATAATTGGCTAACGTACGGGCTACACGTGCGAAGATGCGTTTTTTGCATAGCTCCCCGCAGATTTTTCTTGCTAACGGCACTGGTTTTTCCAGCTAAAGAATTTCATACTGGTCACCAGGACTGTCAGGAAAATCCCTTCAAAATTCCAATCTTCTAGCTTCTCACGTTCCCGAGTTAGCAACTTACCCAGAAGAAACTTTCACGGGCCCGTACGTAGGTATCACGCTTACCCGTGGGCAGGGTTTGAACTCATTAATACCCACCTGGACGGGGAACATCCTCCTAAGATTTCAGCATTCTAGCTTCTCAGATCCTCGAGTTATGAACTTACCAGAGAAAAATTTTGGCGGGCTCGTTCGCGGGTACCACGCTTACCTGGGGATTGGGTTTGAGGTCATTAATACATACTTGGACGGGAAACATCCCCTTAAAATTTCATTCCCCAAGCACCTCTGTTTCCCGAATTAGCAGTTTACCAGTAAAAAACTTTGGCGGGCTCTAACATGGATACCACGCGGGTAATGGCGCCCATTTTGGAGATTGGGGCCCGTACGTGCATGTAGATTAAGTTTCCAAAGTTTCAGACCTGTAACTTTTGTAGGCCTTGAGATGAAAAAGCGTGACACACACACACATACACACACACACACACAAACAACCCCTCGTCAAATATGCGTTTTCTGCATTGCACAGCTGCGAAAAACGCATAAAAATTATAGAAATTCTGCCGTTTTTTTCTTGGCACTAAGATTCATCACATATTATCTAACATGAAATGCCATATATGTGTTTATATAATGGCATTAAATCAAACCGCCTCAACTTCAATCCTAGCTTTTTTATTAGTCAAGTTTAGCTTTTGTATTAGACTTACCTCGATGAATGCCTTTTGAATGACATCCGAAATTTTCATTGGCTCTTCACTAATCCCCGTGAAAGTGGCGAAATCACTGAATGCAAGTCCCATGCCCAGTTTCTG